AGCCCCAGGCACCGAATTCCCCGGGTGCTTCTCCCGCGGGCTATTTATGCACCCAGGAGGAAGGCGGCGACCGCCAGCTGTCTGCAGGCGGGCTCGAGCCCCCGGGCCGGGCCGGGCCGGGCCGGGCGGCGGCAGGGGTGGGCCGGCCCCCTCCTCCCCTGCCTCCTCTTCCTCCTGCCCCGTGACATCACGGCCCAGCTGCCGCCCGGCGCGACGCGGAGCGGTGCGCACCCAGAGCGCACCCGGCGCGCACCCAGAGCGCACCCAGCTCGCAGCCGGCGCGCACCCAGAGCGGCCCCGCTCGGCTCGGCTCCAGTCCCGGCTCTCGGCCACGGCAGCGCCCACAGGTACCGGCCCCGGTTCCGTCCCCACCTCAGCCCCTGCGCTCATGGGAGGGCTCCACGCACACACACGCACAGAGGGGCACACGCGTGCACCAGTGCATGCATCAGCATGCAAGCGAGGAGCTGTGCATGGCGGGCACTCACAGGCACACGTGCGCACAGGAGTGCATGGAGACGTGCACACGTGCAGCTCGCGCCCCGCTCCGCATGCAGCCCTGTGCTCAGCGCGCTGCTGCAGCCGCCCCCTGCACTGCTGCGTGGCCACGTGGACCCCCCGCTGCATGCAAGTCCCTTAGGGCTGAGGGGACTCATGTGGCTCTGCCCCACTCCGAGCCCATCCCGCTCCTCCGCACACGGCACAAAAGCCAAGCTGCCCTCCTGGGCCCTTCCCGGGTGTCCCCAGGGGCTGGGAGGGCACCGGGTGGCCCCGACTGCACCCGCTGAGCCCTGGGCTGCTGAACAGGCAGCACTGGCTGCAGAAGCCCCAAGGAATTGGGTGCCCATGGGGACGCCCACGCTCGCACTCCTGGGCTGGCTCTTTTGTCCCGCTCCCGTGTGTCGCATCCTCCTGTTGGCCCACAGGGATTTGGTTTGCCCACCAAATGTCCTGCCTTAGCCACAGGCTCCAGGCTGGACAGTGCTGTGTGTGCAGGGAAACGAGGATGCTGCTTTCCAGCCTCTTCCATGCAGCTCTGGGAGATGGTGCCGCAACTTCTGGTGCCTGCTGCAGCCTCTGAGGCTCTTCTAGGAGACCCTGTGCTCCCCATGTCCCCTTGGGCTCCTAGGGGTGACAGGCTCCAGGGTAGTCCCTGCTCCTGCACCTTGTGCTTCCAGGGAGATATTCACCCTTGGGCACCACGGGCAGGAGATGCAGAGTGACAAGGAGACAGGGGCACCTTTGGCCCCTCTGTTTTGCTCTTTGCTGGGGTTCCCATGGTGGTTTCCCTGGCACCAGGGGCAGGACATTGTGGCACCCGTGTGCACGTGCTTGGCAGGAGGGCACCAGGATGCAGAGCAAGGGGAGGTCTGTGACAAGCGAAGCGAGCTCTGGGCTTGGGCAAGGACTTGTGCTCATGTGCGATGCTGTGATTTTGCCCCCAAATTCAGCCATGATTTTGCCCCCAAATTCAGCTGTGATTTTGCCCCGAGTCAGGAGTGAGGGCAGGTGGAGGGTCTCCAGCTGTGGGACAAGCTGCTTCTTGTGGCCGTTTCTCACACTGAGGCCCAAGGGCTTTGTGGGGGTCAGTGTGTGACCGACACCCATGTAGGGAGCACAAGGACCGACCCCTGGTTTAGAGCAAAGAGAAACCCAGAGGAGGCTGGAGTGGCTGGGGACAGTGGGGACRGCAGGAGGCCGAGTCCTGCACTGGCTTCCGAGCTGCCCCCGGGAACCCTCCTCTTCCTCCCGCAGCCCCCAGACTCTGCAGAGCTTCCCCCCATTTCTGTCACTGCCCTTAGGGGCTGGGGTGCTCCGGAGGGTGTCCCCAGCACCCCTGGGTGTCCCCTCCCGCCTTGGGCGCTCCTGGTGACCAGGGTGGGTGGCCGAGTCCCGGCCACGCTTCCCAACCTGTCCCCCTACCCAGGTGCCAAGAAGCCCCCGCGCCGCGGAGCTGCCACCATGGAGCACCAAGGTGAGCGCTGCCACGAGCCCCGGGCCACCCGTGTCCCCTCCCTGTCCTTGGGGTCCCCTCCACTGGCCCTGGCATCCCCCTCACGTGGCCCACGGGCCCCCCAGGGCCCAGCGGCGTCAACCAGCTCGGGGGGCTCTTCGTGAACGGCCGCCCACTGCCCGTGTGCAAGAGGCAGAGGATCGTGGAGCTGGCAGCGCGCGGCATGCGCACGGCGGCCATCTCCCGCTGCCTGCAGGTGTGCGGGCACGGGCATGGGCACGGGCATGGGCACGGGGATGGGGACAAGGATAGGGATGGGGATGGACAAAGGGATGGGGATGGGGGTGCGAATGGGGACAACGACAGGGATGGGAATGGAGACAGGGATGGGGATGGACATGAGGACTGGGATGGGGATACGGACAGGGACAGGAACAGGGCTGGGGATGGGGACGAGGATGAGGATGTGGACAGTGATGGGGATAGGGATGGGGATGGAGACAGGGACAGGGATGGGGACAGGGATGGGGACGGGAATGAGAACTGGGATGGGAATGAGAACAGAGATGGGGATGGAAACAGGGATGGGGACGGGGATGGATATGAGGACAGAGATGGGGATAGGGACAGGAACAGGGATGGGGATGAAGACAGGGATGGAGATGGGGACAGTGATGGGAACAGGGATGAAAACTGGGATGGGGATGAGAACAGAGATGGGGATGGGGATGAGGACAGGAATGGGGACAAGGATGGGGATGGGAAAGGAAGCAGAGATGGGGATGGGATGGGGATGAGGACAGGGATGGGAATAGGGACAGCAACAGGGATGGGGATGGAGACAGGGATGGAGATGGGGACAGTGATGGGGATGAGAACTGGGATGGAGATGAGAAGAGAGATGGGGATGGGGATGAGGACAGGGATGGGGATGGGGACAAGCATGGGGATGGGAATGGAAACAGGGATGGGGACGGGATGGGGATGAGGACAGGGATGGGGATAGGGACAGCGACAGGGATGGGGATGGAGACGGGGACGGAGATGGGAACACTGATGGGGACAGGGATAGGGAAGGGAACGAGGATGAGGATGCAGATGTGGACAGTGATGGGGACAGGGATGAGGATGGGGATGGGGACAAGGATGAGGATGGGGACGGGTGCAGCTCTCTCGCTGCCGCAGGTCTCCACGGGCTGTGTCAGCAAGATCCTGGGCCGCTTCTACCGCACGGGAGCCGTGGGGCCCAAGGCGATGGGGGGCAGCCGGCCGCGCGCCGCCACCCCGGCCGTGGTGGCCAGGATCGCGCAGCTCAAGCGGCAGCAGCCGTCGCTCTTCGCCCGCGAGATCCGCTGCAAGCTGCAGGCCGAGGGCGTCTGCGCCGGCGGCCGCGCGCCCAGCGTGAGTCCCGCGGCAGCGCCGGGCGGCCCTGGGGGGGACACGGGGACAGGGCACCCTGCGTGGCCCCGGTGACCGCCCCGGTGAGCCGCGGCCGGCGCCGGGGTCCCCCATGGGGCACAGCCCCCTGTCTCCTGCCCAGGTCTCCTCCATCAACCGGGTGCTGAGGAACCTGCAGAGCCGCCTGCAGCTGCTGCCCTTTGCTGGGGAGCCGCTGCTGCCAGGTGAGCTGGGCCGGGGTGGCACCGGGGAGCGGGGCTGGGGGCACCAAGGGGGCCCGCAGGGTGCAGGGGGGTCCTGCTACCAGCTGAACACGTGCGCATGCACACGCATGTGCTTGTACATGCACATGTATGCATGCATGCATGCCCACATGCATGCACCCACGTGCTTGCACATACATACACCTGAATGCTTGCATGCTGGCATGCTTGCATACACACGAAGACATGCCTGCACACACATACTTGCCCACATGTTTGCATGCCTACATGCTTGCGTGCACGCACACGGACATGCACACACACATGCACCTGTGCTTGCACATGCACACAGCCGGTGCCAGCCGAAGTGTCCCCTGACCGCCTGGGACCCCCTCTCCCCATCTCCATCCTGGTCCCACAGGCTGCTGCTCTCCAAACGGACCCGAAGCCGACGTCCCCGCGGGGACCGCGTGCCCGGCGAGGAGCTTGGAGCCGCCGGCGCCGCGGCACCGCGGCAGGACCGTCTTCTCCAGGCAGCAGGCGCGGGAGCTGGAGGAAGGTGACGGGCTCGCGCCGGGGCGCCGGGCACCCCCCGTCCCTTCYGCGCCCAGCGCTCATCCCGCCGCCCCTTGCAGAGTTCCGCAGGGGGCAGTACCCGGACACGCGCGCCCGGGAGCGGCTGGCCAGCGCCACACAGCTCCCGGATGCCACCATCAGGGTAAGGGACATGGGGCTGCATGCGCGCAGTGCAGCCCGTTCCGGCCGCAGCTCTGCAGCAGCCGGGCACGGAAAGGCCAGTGCTGCAAAGGGGCTTTGGCAGCGCCCTTTGGTGCCGGGGAAGCGGCACGGGAGCCGGCACGGGCACACGTGGCTCATCCCGCTGCTCCTCGCCCAGGTTTGGTTCTCCAACAGAAGAGCCAAGTGGCGCCGCGAGGCCAAGCAGCGGCTGGAGGCCSGGAGYGGAGGTGAGGCCGGGAGCGGAGGTGAGGCCGCGCGCGGGGGCTCGGGGACACCGGGGACATGGCGGGAGCGGAGCTGAGGCCGCGCGGTCCCCGCAGGAACCTGGTGCGAGTGGCTCCTTCCCGCCATGGCCGCGGCCCCGCCGGCCCCCGCCGCCTTCCGCCCGCCCGCTGCGCCCGTCCCCGCACAGGTAGGACAGGGACCGCGGCCCGGCCACCGCGCAGGGCCCAGCGGCACCAGGGCCACCGTGCAGAGCCTGGCGCCACCAGGGCCACTGTGCAGAACCTGACAGCACCAGGGCCACCGTGCAGGGCACTGCAGCACCAGGGCCACTGCACAGAGCCTGGCACCACCAGGGCCACTGTGCAGAGCCTGACAGCACCAGGGCCACCGTGCAGAGCCTGGCACCACCAGGGCCACTGTGCAGAACCTGACAGCACCAGGGCCACCGTGCACAGCCCAGTGGCACCAGGGCCACCATGCAGAACCTGGCAGCACCAGGGCCACTGTGCACAGCCCCGCAGCACCAGGGCCACCGTGCACGTGTCAGGATCTGCCGGGCGTCCCCTGAGGTGCTGGTCCAGGACACTGTCCTGGGATACTCTAGCGAGATCCTCCCCTGAGGTGCATTCCAGGATGCTCCCCTGGGATGCTGCCCTGGGACACTATCCAGGGTTACTCTTGGGGGATGCTTTCCCAGGATGTCCTCATGGGATGCTGTCCCGGGATGCTGTCCCAGGCTCCTTTCCCAGCAGAAGCTGGGATGCTTTCCCGAGTGCTCTCCCGGGATGCTGTCCTGGGATGCTSTCMTGGGATGCYCTCATGGGATGCTSTCMYGGGATGCTGTCCCAGGCTCCTCTCCCGGCAGAAGCCGGGATGCTCTCCGGGGTGCTCTCCTGGGTGGTCTCCTGGGAATCCTGTCCTGGGATGCCCTCATGGGATGCCATGATGGGATGCTGTCCTGGGATGCTCACGTAGGGGAGCTGCTCTTTTGGGACGCTCTCCCAGGACACCTTCCTGGGTTGCTCTCGTGGGACGCTCCCATGCGATGCTCTCATGGGATGCCCTCATGGGATGCCCTCATGGGATGCTATCCCGGGATGCTCTTCTCCCCGCAGAGGCTGGGATGCTGTCCTGGGTGCTCTCCCAGGGTGCTCTCCCTGGATGCTCATGTCCGGGAGCTGCTCTTTCAGGACGCTCTCCCAGGACACCCTCCYGGGTTGCTCTCCTGGACACTCCCATGGGATGCTCCATGGGATAGTCTCCGGGATGCTCCCGTTTTCCTGCTTTGTGCAGCTGCCCTGAGCGCTCCYGGGCAGCTCCGTGCCCAGGCGGGGGACGTTCGGGAGCCACCACGAGTGTCCCCGCAGTGATGCCCAGCGCTCACCCGGCAGTGACACTGGGCACTGGCCCTGCAGTGACACCCAGTGCTGGCCCCGTGCTGACACCGGGCACTGGCCCCACGGTGACACGGGGCACTGACCCCGCTGTGATACCGGGCGCCAGCCCCACAGTGACACTGGTCACTGCCCCTTGGTGACACCCGGTGCTGGCCCCACGGTGACACTGGGCACTGCCCCATGGTGACACTGTGCGCTGACCCTGGGGTGACACCGGGCACTGATCCTGCAGTGACACCCGGTGCTGGCCCTGTGGTGACATTGGGCGCTGACCCCGTGGTGACATTGGGCGCTGACCCCGTGGTGACACTGGGCGCAGACCCTGTGGTGACGCTGCTCTCTGCCCCCACAGCAGCTCCCGGGCTGCCCCCCCGGCTGCCCCATGGCCCCCCCGGCCCCGCTGCACCTCTGCGCCGCGGCCCCCGGCGCCTGGGACGACACCTGTTACGGTAACGGGGACACGGGGACACGGGGCGCACAGGGACATGGGGGCATGGGGCATAGGGGGCACAGGGACATGGGGACACAGGGACATGGGGACACAGGGACATGGGGACACGGGGACAGGGGGACACGGGGACATGGGGACATGGGGACA